AATAACCTCAAGTCTACTACACACTCTATCCTTATTAATGGATATCTTAGCAGAACCTTCCAGCCAAAAAGGGGACTCAAACAAGGAGATCCTCTTTCTCCCCTTCTATTCATTCTATCAGCAGAAAGCTTCAGCAGAACCATCAAACAAAAACCCATCAGGGGATCCTAAGCAATTACAAGCTAGGCAGACACTACATGCCTATCACACATCTGGCCTTTGCTGCTGATTTACTAATTTTCACCAATGGTGCTGCAAACAACCTAGCCAAAAATCAACAGCTTCTTGAGAAACTATGAAAGAGCTACTGGTCAAAGGATTAATCTCCATAAAAGCTCTTTCTATACCCCTGACAAAACCCCATCAGTTCATGCAATAAAAATGGGGAAAATTCTCAACATGCAAAGAGGCCAATTTCCCTTCAAGTATCTGGGCACTCAAGTACACAGAGGAATCAATAGGAAGAACTACTGCAATGATCTTCTAAATCACTTTGATAAAAAACTTCAAGGTTGGACCAAGAATATGCTTTCTCAAAGTGGAAGACTAGTTCTTATCAAACATGTCTTAAGTGCCATCCCCCTCCACACTCTTGGCTCTACCAATCTACCTAAAAGCATCCTCACATGTCTTTCAGCAAAAAATGAGCAATTTCCTTTGGGGATGCAAAAATGATCACCACAACTAGCACTGGGGTTCTTGGAAAGACATCTGCAGACCCAAAGATGAAGGGGGACTCAATATTGCTAATCTTGAAACCCTACAGTTGTCTTATGGTCTTAAAATGTGGTGGAGCTACATGAACAATAACTCTCTCTAGCTGAATTCATGCATCACAGATACCCCCATGGCTTCAACAACCCCCCCAAACTTATTGACTCTACATCCTGGAAGAGAATCCAACACATCCATGACAAAATCAGCACCATCATCAGTGTTAGCTAGCAATGACAACCAACCTACCTGGGATGATGGTCACACCGGCTTCAGCCTAAAGAAAGCTTACAATGCCTTGAGAGAGAAACAACCCACTCATAGCTTTCTTAAACACTCTTGGAACAATAAACAGTATCCTAAAATTTCTCTCTTTCTTTGGAAGATATACAAAAATATTCTACCTTTCACTAACAACCTCACAAAATTTGCAGTTTCTATGCCCTCTATATGTTTCTTATGCAAGAAAAACAATGATGATCAGAATCACACACTCAAAGAAGGCAACTTCAGCAGACAAATCTGGACACATTTTAAAGAACAATTCAAGATTCCTAGAACTACCACTCATGGGATATGCGCGTACCTCATGACATGGTTGCAAGATCAAACGACAAGCAACAATTCACAGAAGAAAATTGCCCCTGGAATAATAGCCTTCGAAATCTAGAAAGAAAGGAATCGAAGAAAGCATCTAGAAGAATCAAAAACTACAACCTAGATCATTCAAATGATCTGGAACAAACTAGTTGAATGGATTCTTGGAAAAGGAAAAGGGAAACTCTCTTCAATGTTAGAATACCGAATTATGCACTCAACATTCGTACAAATCTTCAAATGGAAAGCTACCACCACCACGGTAACCACTGATGTGGCGGTAGGCAAGGGAATCATGGTGGGCAGTGCAATCCTTCGTACCTCCAACGGCAAATTCATTGGCGGTATGGCAAGGAAGCTTCAACAAAAGACAAATGTAGAAGAGGGAGAATTAGAAGCTGGCCTAATGGGCCTTCATTGGGCCACCTCAATTCAAAACGATAAAATTAATCTCTACAAGGACTTTAAGAATGCAATTGATAGGATTCGGGCCGCAGAGAGAGGGGATACAATCAGCTTCAACATAAAGACACTGCTCCAAACAAGACAAGGAAGCACCCGACACATTTACCGAGAAGGAAACACAGCGGCACACAATCTGGCACAATTTGCACTCAAAAACAATCTTTACTCCAATTATTTCTCGTTCAATTCTCTCCCAAGATCTGTTAGGGGAGCAGTCACATGTGATAAAACTTGTATTTTTATTTGCCTTCATAATTAATAAAAATCTTCTATATATATATATATATAAACATATTTATTCTTTTTATTGAAAACGAATCAAAATACAACAATTGTCACACTTAATGGCCCCTTTGACAGATTTGGGGAGGGATGAGAGGGAATTGTAGATTAAAAATTTATTGTTTGCAAGAGCAAATTGTGCTAAGTTATGTGCTGCTGTGTTTTCTTCCCGATAGACATGTTTTGCACTTCCTTGAATTTGTTGAAGTTTAGTCTTGATATCATGACTAATTGGGTTGTCTTTGTGGGCTTCTTTGATTCTCTTGACTGCATTAGTGGAGTCTAGGTGTAGGTTGACTGCATTAGTGGAGTCTACGTTTAGTCTAGGTCTAGGTGTGGTTCCATACTTGTTTGCTGTAGTGGTAGTTGTAGAGTGTGTGATTTTGGTCATCAGCATTGTTCCTGCACAATAAGCAAACAGAAGGGAGGCATACTGCAAATCTTGTTAAATTGTTAGTGAAAGGAAGTATGTTATTGTAGAGCTTCCATAGGAAAATTGAGATTTTAGGATACTGTTTTTTGTTCCAAGAGTGGGTGAGAAAAGTATCAATGGGATGATTCTCTCTCATAGCATTGTAAGCTCTCTTTAGGCAAAAGCCAGGTTTTCCATCATCCCAGGTAGGATTGTTGTTGCTGTCCAGGTCAATGAGGGAGTAGGCAATGTCATTGATGTAGAGAAGTCTTTTCCAAGTGGGGGAGTCAGTGATTTTAGGGGGAGTGTTGAGGCCATGGGGATATTTGGAATGAATAAACTCTACCCAGAGTGAGTTCTTAATCATGTAGCTCCACCACATCTTAAGACCATAGGAGTTCTGTAGGGTAGCAATGTTGGGGATGTTGAGTCCCCCCTCTTCTTTTGGTCTGCTGATGTTGTTCCAAGACATCCAGTGATAATTGTGATGGTCTTTATTTGTCCCCCAAAGGAAATTGCTCATTTTCTGGCAGAGGCAGTTGATCACACTTTTGGGAAGAGTAGTCGAGCTTAGTATGTGTAGGGGGATTGCACTTAGGACATGTTTAATGAGGACCAGCCTGCCACTTTGAGATAGAAGGCTCTTAGACCAACCTTTGAGTTTTTATCAAAATGGTTTAGAAGGTCAGAGCAGTAGGCTTTTCTGTTGATGCCTCTATAGATTTGAGTGCCAAGGTATTTGAAGGGGAAACAACCTCTTTGCATGTTAAGAATTTTTCCCATTTTTGTGGCTTGGGTTGAAGGAGTTTTGTCTGGGGTGTAGAAGGAACTTTAATGGAGATTGATCTTTTGGCCTGGGGCCTCTTCATAATCTTTAAGGGAATTAGAGATGTAGGCCAGATTTTTAGCATCTCCATTAGTAAAGATTAGAAGATCATCTGCAAAAGCTAGGTGGGTAATGGGCATGTAGTGTCTTCCTAGTTTGTAGCTTGAAAGTTCTCCATGTTCAATTTTGGATTTGAGGGTTCTGCTGAAGGTTGCTGCTGCCAGGATAAAAAGGAGGGGGGGACAGGGGGTCACCTTGTTTGAGACCTCTTCTAGGTTGAAATCCTTTGGTGGGATAGCCATTGATCAGGATAGAATGTGTAGTGGCTTGAAGATTGTTAAGGATATGATTGTTAAGCTTATTGCAGAACCCAAATTTCCTTAGGACCAGTTCAATGAATTCCCAGGAGACTCTGTCTAAGGCCTTGGACATGTCTAGTTTGATAGCTAGATTTCCTCCTCTAGTTTTGAAATTAATCCCATGGATGAGTTCTTGGGTAATCAGGATTTGGTGATGGATTTGTCTTCCTTTAATAAAACCACCTTGTTCTGGTGATATTATGTTCGGAAGGATGCTGCCCAATCTCATTGCTAAAATCTTAGAAAAAATTTTGGCTATGAAGTTTGAGAGGCAGATTGGCCTGAATTCCTTAAAAGTGGATGGGTTTTCAACTTTGGGAATTAGGATGATGCTAGTTTTTCCCAAAATCTTGGGGATGGGGATTTCCAAGAAGAATTCCCGAGCAGCCTTAGTAACATCCTCTTTAATAATATCCCAGCATTTTCTGTAAAAATCTCCAGTAAGGCCATCAGGACCTGCAGCACTATTAGGATCCAAATTCCAGATTGCTTCCTTGACTTCATCTTCAGAGGGAAGTCTAGTGAGCATGTGATTGTCAGTCTCATTGATGAGGGTTGGGATGTTAGGGAGAAATAGGTCATGACCTGTACTGTTTTTCCAAGAGAAGAGATGTTGGAAATAATCAGTAGCCTCCTGTTAGATTTCATTAAGATCAGAAGTCCAATTGCCACTGCTATTTTTGATCCTTTGGATTTTTTAATGGTTTCTTTTCTCCTTCAAGATGGCATAAAAATAGGCTGAGTTACAGTCCCTCTCTTTGAGCCATTTGATTCCAGCCTTTTGTTTCCAATAGTTGAATTCATTTTTTGTGGCTTGATTGAGGTGTGCCCTTGTTTCATTCATCAGAATTCTGTTCTCCATAGTAGGCATTGTATCATAGTTCTGTTCTGCCTCTTGAAGTTTTTGTTCAAATTCCACCACTTTAGAAGTGATGTTACCAAAGCTGTTCTTGTTCCAAGAGATTAGAATAGAAGATAGATTTACCAATTTGTTCATTAGTCCTTTCATACCCCCCCCCCCTTTGTAGGGACCCCAGTTTTCTTCAATGAGAGTCTTGAAGGAGTGGTGATTGGCCCAACAATTTAGGTATCTAAAAGGTTTGGGTCCAGTGAATATGGGGGTTTGGATAGAGATGAGGATAGGACAGTGATCTGATTTTCCTCTTGAGAGATGCTGGGATGATATAGAGTCAAAGTTTTTTGGCAAATTGGATTGATGAAGACTCTGTCCAGTCTCTTCCATAATCTCCCCAGGGTTCTAGTTCCTGTCCAGGTGAAGCTGTTGCCAGTGAAAGGGGGGGATATTAAGCCATTGTTCATGATACAGTTGTCAAAATCATGAATACTAGCCTGTTAAGGCAGGGTATGCTCTTACCCTTGTGGTGCTCAAGGGAAGAGATAGCATTGAAGTCTCCCCCAAGAATCCAGTCATCTGGGTTGTTGCTGTTGTAGTGGCTGATTGCCTCCCATAGTTGTTTCCTCTCCTCTCTTGTGTGTTTTCCATAGATCCCTGAGAGTAGGAAATTTTTGTTGGTTTGTTTGCTATGGAAGAGAACATTAAGCATTTGTCCCATGTCTGTGTGCTTCTTGTAGGTCAGATGTTGATTGTGCCACATGATCCAAATTCTATTGCTGGAGCTAGAAATGGAGTTGGAGAATCCAAGTTCCAGCTGAAATTTGGTCAGTTTATCTGGGGAGGCTTTGGGTTCAATGATGGTGAGGATGATGATTTTGTGTTTAGTGACCAGTAGGGATAGCCTTTCTTTGTTAGAAACTATCCCACAGAGGTTCCAAAAGAGGCAATTCATTGATGACTGGTTTGGGAAGAACTTTTTGATGAGGATTTCTCTAGAAGCCTTTTTTATTTCCTTGTAACAGTGGTGAAGCCTTCAGTGGTTTGTCTGCTTTGTGGTTCTTCTGAAGGGTGAATGGGGGGATCTGTGTGTTGATGTTGTTCCTGGGTAGTGTCTGTGTCACTCAGGTAATTAACTGTGTATTTGGGATGAGGGTCCTGAATGTGGGAGTCATCTTTGGATCCACTTAGTTTTGAGGTGTTGCATATGTTGTTGATGTCCTTCATTAATGCTTCAAGGATTTCTCTGTCTGAGGGTGGGGGAGGTGTGTTAAGAGGGTTAGTGGGGGTTTTGGGTTGTTAGGGAAATGTGTTAAGAGGATCAGTGGTGGGTGGGCTGGCTAATGGGTTGGTGCTGATTGGGCAATTGGGTGGCTCGGGTAGGGGAGAGAGAGGGTTTTGGTTGATGACCAGTTCAGTTGCAGTGGGTTCTGGTAATTTGTTGTTTTGTTGTTGGGGGTTATTGTGTGTTGGGGGCTGGTTATCTTGTTCTAGGGATGGTATTAAAGGGGTGGCTGTTGTTGGTGGGGTAGGGAGGTCTTGGATTTTACTTGTTGAAGGTATATCCTTAGTTTGACAGACTGTAGGAGTGGGGTTTTGAGTAGTGTGTGGGTGTTGCTGTGGGGTTTGGGTGTTTTTGGGAGCTTTCTTCTGGAAGATAGTGACTGTATTGTGCTTAGGAGGTTGGGAATATTCCGGCCAGGATTCTGGCCTTCCAGCAAGGGGTTTGATGATATGGTTTGTTTATTTTTCAGGGCTGAGCATTCTCCACTGTGTCTGGAGATTCCTTTGCATGTGTGGCAGAAGGAAGGGAGGTCTTCATAGATGGCTTCTAGGGAGAGCTGTTGGTTACCATTTTGAATGAAAAATTTTGAGATCTGTGGTTGAGAGATATCAACTTCAACACAAATTCTAGCCAGAGATGGTCTCCCAAAGCTCTCAGTAGTGGTGTCAAGCTTAATAGGGTTCCCAAAAATGTGACCAATTCTGTGCAAGGAGTCAGGTGAGTGAAGGTGTATGGGAAGGTTTTTGATGCCAATCCAGATTGTCATGATGGGTGACTCAACTTTGGGATCAAAGGTTGGAGTCCATTTTGAAACCAACATTTTAAAAGATCCTAGATTCCATTCCCTTCTTTTAAAACATCTATGGTATTCATCTTGTGAGGAGAAATTGATAAGAACATGGGTAGGATCAATTAGAGTAACAGAGAAGGTTGTAAATCCAATTCTCTCCAAGTTCTGTCTAATAAATTCTAGGCTTGGTCTCCCAAAGAAGAAGGAACCTGCTAAGGCCTTAGAGAATCTTGAGGCCAGTAGGGTGACTTCTTCCTCTGAAAAGGAGACGCAAGGGAGACCTTTAAGCCGTTCAACTGGTTTGATAGGAAGGGGGGGATTGTTACCTGTTGTGTTGAAGTGACAATTGCTGCAGCATAACTTTTCCTTTGGTGTGGGTTGTTGTTCCTTTCTGAAAAGGTGTTATTGAAGGTGGAAGTTGTATTGCTGGTGGTCTGAGCTGCTGGAGATGAAACATTTTTGGAGGGAAGATGCTTGGAGAGTGCTGCTGGGGTTGTTGATGGTGAAGCAGCAGTTGGAAGGTTGCCGGAAGAACCACCTGAGGAGGTCGCCGGCATTGCTAGAGAGAGCTCTGCCGCTAGAGAGAGAATTATATATATAAATATATATATATATATATATTTATATATATATATATATATTAATGAGAAGGAATTTTATTTATCGAATAAAGGGTTACATCAGCCGTAATGGCTCCCTTAACGAAAGGGGGAATGTTAGCCTTGGTATGCTTAATCTCATGTTTTGATGTTAACAAATAATTTAATTATACTAACGATTGTTCAATTGTGTAGGAACGACAAAATCCACTAAAACGCGTTGATTGCGTCAATACTTTCGCTCACACAGGACTAGCATAGAATAGATTAGAGTCATTTATTGTTAAAGATATTGGAATGATATATCTCTAAGGTCAAGCTAAAATTTGCACACACAAAAAAGATTTTTACTTGGGTATTTATTTTTAAAATACATTTGGTAAATATTTTCGAAAAATATTTTTTTCAAAATATTTAACTAAAGTTATAACTCTTCTCAATACTAGATCACCGTTTCTTGAATTACTCAATTCTGATTAGTATTGAAAAAGTTATTAACATTTTACCAAATTTATATTAAAATTGCGCCATCAGTAACGAACGGTCGATGTGGTGAACCGTTACTCCAAAACGGTCGACCGTCCTACTGACCGTTGGAGGAATTTGAACGTTACCCCGAACGGTCGACCGTCCGGACTAAAACGGTTGATGTGATGGGCCGTTCGGAGACCAGATTCTTTATATCTTGTCTTTTTCACACCCAACGGTTGGATTATTTTAATTATGGTATTAGGAGTTAATTATTCTTCTTTAACAGCTATTTTTCAATTTCAAACAACTCCTAATCCATCCCTATAAATACCCAAACCATTTCAATGTTTTCAAATCAATCAAGCCTTGCTAAAATCCATCTCTAAATTCTTTCTTCTTGTGTTCATAAAAATCTCTGATTTTTATTAGGCTATTAAAGAGTCATTTTTTCAATATATTTTCTTGAACACACATTGAGCTTGATTCAAAAGAGATATACACTCATACTATCTATAAGAGAGTTGTAATTGTTAGAGTGTATAGAAATCATCACACCAACCCAATCTTGTATTTCATATTCTTGAGGTGGTGTTGATTCATTCAAATTCTCATATCCGTGTAATACGTTGAAGATATCCGTTGTAAAATCTTCATTGAGACGGTTGGAGATAGCCGTGGTGAAATCTCCGGAAGCGGTCAAGGACATCCGTGAAATCCTTGTTAAGACGGTTGGAGATAGCCGTTGCAAATCTCTAGGTTGAAGACATCCTGAAAATCTTCGGTGTACGGTTGGGGATAGCCGTTGGAAAATCCTCAAACTAGTTGGATACTTCAAGGCGTGAAGTATTGTCGATCTAGTGTAAACCTATTGGCAAAGGTTTGTTTGCCAAAGACTGGTTCCCTCGTGACGATCGTATTGATACGGTCAAGGCGTTCTAGTGGATTGAAAATCCTTAAGGAGGAGCCTTAAGGTACTAGAGTAGGGAGTTCCCGAACCAGTATAAAATCGGTGTGCATTTACTTTACGCTTTTACTTTTGCATTTTTATATTGCTTCCGCATTTGCCTACACCGTTTTTTATTAAACTCCGGAAAATTTTTAAACGCCTTATTCACCCCCCTCTAAGGCGTGGGCACAACGAATAAACCGACTAACAATTGGTATCAGAGCAGTTTCATATTTAAAAGTGCTTAACCGCACCTACGACAAAGATCCACTTGTTGTGTCCTTTTTGAATTTGAATTTTAAAAATCTCAAATATTTATTTTCCCTTATTTTTTTAAAATTCAAATTTATGGCTCAAATGAATTCTCAAAGCATTCACCGCCCTCCGTTTTTCAATGGTCAAAACTATTCTTTTTGGAAAATGCGGATGGAATATTTTATACAATCCATTGATTTTGATTTATGGTTAAATGTACTTCACAGGCCATTTGTGCCGAGTAGTGGTAGCCTTGCAGGTTTAACTTCGGAGGATAAGAGAAAATTATCCATGAATGCAAAGGCAATCAATATCCTTCATTGCTCTCTTGGCCCGGACGAATTTGCAAGAGTGAGTACATGCAAAACGGCCAAGGAAGTATAGGATCTACTAGAAGCCACACACGAAGGGGACGTCTCAACAAAGCAAACGATGATTGCCCTTGGGAATTCTGAATACGAATCTTTCAAAAAAGGGCCAAGCGAGACGATTCAAGACATGAACAAAAGGTTTAATGAGATCATCAATAAATTGAGTAAGTTGGGTAAGACGTATACTATTTCCGAGCTTAATACGAAAATTCTATTTTCTTTACCTAAAGAATGGCATAGTAGTATCGTAGATTTATTACCCAAATGTGTTAAGGCCGAAACCGCCCACATTTGGTCTTCTTTGTATTCTCACGAGCTTTTGTTGAAAAAGATCAAAGAGGAAGAAATGCGTGAAAATCCCAAGCTTACGAATGCCTTCAAAGCTTCAAAAGACTCATCAAGTGAAGAGTCAAGTGAGCCAAGTGATGATTCAAATGACTCAAACTCTTCCGAAGAGTCAAATGATGATGAAGATGAAGAGAAGAAAATGAGAATGAAGTATATGGATTTTCTCAAATGGAAAAAATATGTGAAGAGAAAAGAAACATATTCAAAACCGAAGAAAGAGCGGCATAAGCCAAGGTAAGTATTTTTTATCCTTAATATCATTAACACACTCTAAATCATGTTTGTCAATATCACATCATCATCATCATCATCATAAAATTTCACAATAAGAGGACTGGAGGACTTAAAAAAAAGGGGATCTAAGAACGCTGAGAAAAGGTCGACCGCTGGAACATAACAATCCATACCATCGACCGTCTGTAGCAATTCACTTCTGATCCCGAATCTGTCACAATCACGGTCGACCTTGGCATCTGAAACGGTTCAAAGTATCCTCCGTTGTATTTGGATCCAGAAGTCTGCCATACGCACGGTCCTCCGTCGTAATGCAACGGTCCAGCAGTTCAACCGTCGACGCCTATTTATAAGGTCAAAACCCTTATCGTTCTAATTCACTGGACCGCGGATCACCTCGCCTCCTCCGTCCGATTTCTCAATTTCGACTCTCTCTCTCAATCTTTCAACAAATCAAGGAATCCAAGCTTCAAGAACTCATCTTTCATGGCTCCCAAGAAGGACACCAACAAGCGCACAATTGCTCCGGGTAAAATTCTAAACCTACCGGATTTCCCCCAATTCATTATCTCCGTTCTTACGCTTCAAGGGTTGCTAGGATTTATTGCAATAGATGAATTGGTGTATGATGAGCTTGTGTATGAATTCTATGATAATCTCTCTTGGGAAACTAAGGTCAATGAAGATGAAGAAGAAACCCCTTTTCTCAAATCTAGGGTTAAGAACAAAACCATAAATCTTGGAATTGAAGAAATTTGTGAATGTTTTGATATTGTTGATAACCGTGATGGATTTGAGACGTATGATAGGCATGGTTGGGGCATCAAGGGTGATACTCTAGCTAGTTGTATTGATAGGCTACACAATGGAGTTGAACATTCCGGAATTGTTAGGCCTAAAAGAGAATTTTTGAATGTTAATCAACAAATTCTTTTAAAAATATTAAAAGAATGTCTTTTGCCTACCGGAAGCAATGACTCCATTGTTGGTATGCTTGAGTGTGCCATTGTGTATCTCTTGAAAGTAGAATCCCTTGTTAGGTTCCCTATGATGATGATGAACCATATGTGGGTTCACAAGGGTTATGGACAACTTCCTTATGGAATGGCGTTGACCAAAGTGTTTCGAAGGGCCAAAATCAAGCTTGAAAAATACAAAGGAAGGAACTATGAGTACAAGAAGATGGATGCCACAAGTCTTCGACGATCAAAGATCTTTCAACACTTTGATGGATTTCACACCGAAGCTTCTTACAACCGAATTTCGGTAGAAAAGAGAAACCGATGGAGATGTGAGAACAACTTAAGTAAATTTGCAAGTTCTTCCTCTTCAAATCCCCGTCCAAGCGTTGAAGTTCCTCCACGTACTTCTTCCATGCCTCGCTCCCGTTCTACACATGCAAAAATTGATCCTTCCTTGAAGAAGTACATGGATGAGAAGATAGCCCAAATGGAGGAAAGCATCACAAAGAAGGTAACCAAGTCCGTGACAAAGAAAATCTTTGACAAAATGAGGAAATGGATTGGTAGCCCTAAATCTCCGTCGTCCACGTCTTCTTCTTCGGAGGAAAAGAGAAGAGCAAAGAAGAAATCCAAAGGACCAATCATTGAGGAAGTCGTTGAAGAAGACCCCGAAAGAATCAACGAGGAAAATTTACAAAAAGGGATTCAGGAAAGCCTAGCCGAACATTGTCATAGCGTTAGCTCATTTCCTCCGATAAATCCCTCATCCACGTTTGAATATGGAAATCCCTCCTCCTCACATGTGAATGTTGATGGTTATGATGATGATGAAGACCTTGACAACATGGCAAATGTTGATGATGATTATTATTATTAAATCTCATTTACTCTTATTTTTGCACAATATGTTAATGTTTGGATATTTAAAACTTTGGTATTTTTTTTACATTGTGCTTAATGTGAAATTGCTTTTATTGACTATCTTGAATATTTTTAGATTTGGTATCAAAATCATTAACAGGTTCTCCTGGAGTGCATGGAATCTAAGAATCATGAAAAAGGAAATTCTTAGCCTTGGTATGCTAGGAGGAAAACTAGAATATGGCACAAGTCTTGAAAAAGACATGTTATTGATAACATGCCTTATATGCTTGATTTATTTTGTTTTACCTCTATTTTTATAGAATTCCTTTACCAAGGGGGAGTAAAATGTTATCAAATTAGAAGAAAAACAAATTTTTTATGATATTCATCATTCAATTTTTACTTAAATCCATTTAATAGAGGGAGGGCTTTTGAAGAAACTTTACACTTTTTTATCAAAACTTTATTCAATCCTTTTTGCTCTTGACAAATAGGGGGAGAAATATGTGTACTTCAAAGTGAAATTTTTTCTCTCAAAGTTTTTATGTGTTAATTGATCATCAATTCTTCATAAGCACATGGCAAATACAAAGTGAGAATTTGTTTTTTTTTTTTAAAAATGCTATGTTTTAGGGGGAGCTTGCATGAATCTTTTACTCCTACCTAAATCTCACTTTGAAGAAAATTATTTGTCAACATCAAAAAGGGGGAGATTGTTAGCCTTGGTATGCTTAATCTAATGTTTTGATGTGAACAAATAATTTAATTATACTAACGATTGTTCAATTGTGTAGGAACGACAAAATCCACTAAAATGCGTTGATTGCGTCAATACGTTCGCTCACACAGGACTAGCATAGAATAGATTAGAGTCATTTATTGTTAAAGATATTGGAATGATATATCTCTAAGGTCAAGCTAAAATTTGCACACACAAAAAAGATTTTTACTTGGGTATTTATTTTTAAAATACATTTGGTAAATAGTTTTGGAAAATATTTTTTTCAAAATATTTAACTAAAGTTATAGCTCTTCTCAATACTAGATCACCGTTTCTTGAATTACTCAATTCTGATTAGTATTGAAAAAGTTATTAACATTTTACCAAATTTAAATTAAAATTGCGCCATCAGTAACGAACGGTCGATGTGGTGAACCGTTACTCCAAAACGGTCGACCGTCCTACTGATCGTTGGAGGAATTTGAACGTTACCCCGAACGGTCGACCGTCCGGACTAAAACGGTTGATGTGATGGGCCATTCGGAGACCAGATTCTTTATATCTTGTCTTTTTCACACCCAACGGTTGGATTATTTTAATTATGGTATTAGGAGTTAATTATTCTTCTTTAACAGCTATTTTTCAATTTCAAACAACTCCTAATCCATCCCTATAAATACCCAAACCATTTCAATGTTTTTTTTGCATTTTATTAAATAATCAAAGGATACAAACGTCTGAACAAGCGGGAACAGGCTCCACACTTGTAAATAACAAGTAAGCAACAACCAAAGAACTATAACGCGAAGAGCTTATCGGATATTGGAACATAGACTTAAGTGCAATTACAGAACCGGCTCAAAACATTCCACTTAGATCTAGGAATAAAATCATTCTCGGAGCCCCAACCCCCGCAAGGGTAAGGCCTAAGGTCAGATAATCCGATCAAGAAAAAATATTCTGAGCCAAGAAATGCAATCGACGTAAGTCCAGTCCAAAATCTAGAAAAGCCCAACTAAAAGAAGAAAGAAAATAATATGTGCAAATAATCCATGTGAGCCGAGGAAAAGCACATAATGTAAGCCCAAAAGGCCCATGAAAACCAAGAAAGTCAGCCCAATCATCTCGGCCCGAAGTCATGACGAAGCCCAATTGTCCACGAAAAGCCAGCCCAAAGCAACCGGCCCAAACCAAATGCCGCAGCCCAGTCCGCTACAAGCCAAGCCGTTCCAGCTCCGGCCCATCCGCCAGAGATCCAATCCAGCCCGCAGCCCAGTCCAAGTCTCAGCCGTGCGTCCAAATGCCATGCTCCAAATCTGCATGTCGCAAGCCCAGCCCAGAAGTAAAGCCCAACCGTCCAAAGTCGGCCCAATCTCAGAAATAGTCCAGCCGTGAAAATCAACTCCAATATGTGAGAAAGCCCATGATATAGTCCAAGAAGAGAGCCCATGTAATTCAACCAATGATGAGAATGCACAGTGAAGAAAGTCCAAGAATGAAGTCCAAAGAGAAGATGAAAGAAAGAGGTACCACTATGGGTCAGTGGCCAACCCTTAGCCCATTACCGCCGGCAGATAGCGGGTGCTCTAACCTCACGCGCAAGCACTAACGCAGGCGGAAGAAACCTCGCCGGGCCCCACCCAGCCTCCCGACGAGGGCACCGATTTGATGACGGTACCACGCATACGCACTTTCCGTGTGCGCCACGGGTGCTCAAATCCTCAATCCGCAAGCATTGACGGGCGTCCTTTACCGCAGACGCGTACGTGCGCCTTTTGACCGCAGGTGCGGTCGTTAAGGCACTCTGATGAAGTGCGAGATGGATAAAGCCTTTACCGGACAGCCACCTCTGCCTGAGCTAGGATGCCAAATACCGCTGGCAACTACGGGCGCTAAAAGCCTTGCTAAAATCCATCTCTAAATTCTTTCTTCTTGTGTTCATAAAAATCTCTGATTTTTATTAGGCTATTAAAGAGCCATTTTTTCAATATATTTTCTTGAACACACATTGAGCTTGATTCAAAAGAGATATACACTCATACTATCTATAAGAGAGTTGTAATTGTTAGAGTGTATAGAAATCATCACACCAACCCAATCTTGTATTTCATATTCTTGAGGTGGTGTTGATTCATTCAAATTCTCATATCCGTGTAATACGTTGAAGATATCCGTTGTAAAATCTTCATTGAGACAGTTAGAGATAGCCGTGGTGAAATCTCCGGAAGCGGTCAAGGACATCCGTGAAATCCTTGTTAAGACGGTTGGAGATAGCCGTTGGAAAATCCTCAAACTAGTTGGATACTTCAAGGCGTGAAGTATTTTCGATCTAGTGTAAACCTATTGGCAAAGGTTTGTTTGCCAAAGACTGGTTCCCTCGTGACGATCGTATTGATACGGTCAAGGCGTTCTAGTGGATTGAAAATCCTTAAGGAGGAGCCTTAAGGTACTGGAGTAGGGAGTTCCCGAACCAGTATAAAATCGGTGTGCATTTACTTTACGCTTTTACTTTTGCATTTTTATATTGCTTCTGCATTTGCCTACATCGTTTTTTATTAAACTCCGGAAAATTTTTAAACGCCTTATTCACCCCCCTCTAAGGCGTGGGCACAACGAATAAACCGACTAACAGGGAAGAGTTGTGAAAGAAATACAAGATGAAATAAAGTTGCTGTTGTTGCTCCATCTTGCTAAAGTATGTGCTCCCAAGTTGCCCTCTTGAAAAATGTGACGAATTGAGGTGCCATGTTGGGACGCGTTAGAAAGACGGTTCCAAAGTTCGTGGTTTATACCCGGGTTTTTGTTTTTAGGAATCCCCTTCACGGTGGTCTCCGAGTCGGTGTGGGCCCAAATTTTATCTGAGAAGTGTTTGGCCCAGTTGATGCCAAGTAATAAGCCCAATGCCTCTCCTTCAAGAATTGTTGGTGCGCATAGTTTCCATGTGCTTGCTGCAATAAAAGTTCCTCATTTGCAGCGAAGAATTGAGCCGCCGATCATGCTGTTGTTGAGGAAGGAGATTCTGTTGAGAGATGAAGGTAGCCTTCCGGTGGTGCTATCCATCTGTGGATTTTGGGATAACGAGAGGATGGTTGAATGAGCAGAATTTCTTGCGGGAGCCTCCAGGATGCGTACTTCTGCAATTTTTTTGGAGCTCTGCTTAGAATCCAAGATTGAAGTTGACCAACACATTCCTCTATTATCTTCCTGTTGCTCCAGATTGAGTTGTTGTGAATTCTTCTATTTCTTTCTTTCCAAATGTTGAATAGAATGATGCCGGGAAGGATGCCTTTTAGCCAGTCGAAGAGATTATTTGTTTTGAAGTTCGTCCACCAGAGTTGAAGGTATGCATTAGTTCTGTGGGTGGTTTGCCATGGTATTTTAAAAATCCATTCAAAGTATTTCCAAATTTCTCTTGAGTAAATGCACTGAATTAGTGTGTGGTATGCTGAGTCTTCATTGTTGTAGCAAAGTTGACCCATTGAGGGGAGGGAGTTTCTACCAAATTTGGTGAGGGTGGAAGGGAATGGGAGTAGGTTGAGGTATAGCCTCCATTGAAAGAAGGCCACTTTAGGGATTTGCTTTGCACTCCAATTGATCTGTAATGGTAGGATTGTTTCCCCTTCCTCTTCTTGCTAAATAATGTTGAAAGCTTCCTTGAAGCTTAGATCTTGGATGGGTTGAGTAGTCCACTGCAAGTATTCTTCTGTATCTGCAAAAAAGTGGTTAGTAGCAATATGATGTATGGAACAGATTCTTTTCCATATTGTGGAATCAATGATTTGGGGTTGGAAATTGTTCTCTCTAGGATATCCAGCTCTCATGAATTTACTCCACAAAGTGTCATTGGCATGGAATGTCCACCAAAGTTTGAGGATATAGGCCTCCTGCATATTGCTCAAAGACCTGACCCCCAGACTTCCTTTATCTTCTGAAACACAGATTTTGTCCCAGGAAGCCCAGTGATAGTTGTCACTGGTTTTGCTGTCTCCCCACAGGAAAGAACACATTTTTTTGTTAAGAAGATTTAGGACAGATTTAGGGGTTTTGTTGATGGCTATAGTGTGTAGGGGGGATGGAGTTAAGAACTTGTTTGATGAGGATTAGCCTTCCATTATGAGAGAATTGTCTTCTGTACCACCCCTTAAGTTTTTTGTCAAAGTGTTCATTGAGGTCCTTACAGTAAGGGCTCCTGTTGATCCCTCTGAAGATTTGAACCCCTAGGTACTTGAAAGGTAGTTGGCCCTTATGCATGCCAAGAATGTTTGAGAACCTGGTTATTTTGAGGGGGGGAGTTTTGGGAGGGGGGTAGAAGCTGCTTTTGTCCAGATTGATCCTTTGCCCAGATGTTTCCTCATAGGAGTCTAGAAATTTCCTAAACTTTAGGAGGTTAGAGGAGGCTCCATTAAGGAAAATGATGAGATCATTAGCAAAGGCTAGGTGGGAGATAGGAAGAAAGTGCCTGCACATTCTGAAATGCTGGATGTAGTTACTGTTCATGAGGGTGTTTGGTGTTCTGGTGAAGCCTTCAGAGGCTATGATGAAAAGTAGAGGGGATAAAGGGTCTCCCTGTTTGAGTCCTCTAGTGGGGGAGAAGGGTTTAGTGACTTTACCATTAATGTTGATTGCAATTCTGATGTTAGATATAATATTGTTGATGAGCATGATGAACTTGTGACTGAAACCAAAAACCTCCAAAATGTCCTTTAGGTATTTCCAATAGACTCTATCAAAAGCCTTAGACATGTCAAGTTTAATTGCTAGAATGATATATATATATATATATATATATATATATATATATATATATATATATATATATATGGGATTGACTCCAGTCAGATGACATCTTTCAATCAGATGACACTTTCGGTCAGATGACATGCATCAGAATGAGCACCACTTTGTTTGAGAATGAGCACCACTTTAATTTAGAATGAACGCTACACTGAGCAGACTGTGAATGAGTACTAGGTTGTTTCAGAATGAGTACTACGTTTATAATGAACAAATGTGTGAAAGTCAACCCTACGATGTCTTAGAATGAACACTACGTGGATTCAAAATGAACCCTATGTTGTCGTCTCGCTGGCTATGAATGAACACTACATTGTGAGTAACAGTTGTGTGAGAATGAATCCTACGTTGTTTAAGAATGAACACTACATTGATTCAGAATGAGCATTTGTTGTCATCTGACCGAAAGTGTCATCTGACCGAAACATGTCATCTGACTGGAGTCAATCCCTATATATATATATATATATATATATATATATATATATATATTAACACAGGAAAAAAGACATATTACTACAATATTAAAAAAAACATGAGGCAACAATCTTTAAATTCTCAAGCAGTTTACAAAAAAGAGAGTAAACTACGCAGTCCAGAAACATACTCCGTAATATGGACCCATTCCCAAAATATCACCCATCATTTTGCAAGTCCTATGGGTGACCGACCATGGATAGCCAAGCCAGAAGATCAAATGCCATCGAAATTTCATCATTGTTGTGCACACTGTACCCTCTGGGCCCCGCCGCCGTGCATTTCATCATCCTCCTCGTAAGCCTCCTGCGCTTGCTGCTGCTGCTTCCTGCGCATCTCGTCCTCAATGTTGACGTCGTGCAGTGTGGTCTCCTCGCACTCGTCCAGCTCCATCTCGGTGATCTCTGTCGCGGGCTTTGGAGGCAGCACGGCTTCCAGCGCCTTGCATTGGTCAAGAGTCAACAAGTCCGGAAAGTCAACCGTGAAGTGGATGTACAGTTTCCCTTTCATGAATGGCTTTTGATACATTGGCATTCCTTCGTCGTTTATGGCCTTGAATTGATCAGGCTTGACAACTTCTCCAGGAAGGGATTTGATGAGGAGCTGCCTGTTATCAAGGTGTGTGAGGATGAATTGGAAACCACAAAGTGCCTCTGTTAGGGATAAGGTGTGCTCCACAAAAATGTCATCACCCCTTCGCTTGAACTTGGGATGTTCCTTTTGTTGCAAGACGAAAACTATGTCTCCGGTGACAGTGTCAGGAGCTTCATCAGCCTCTCCAGGGAAGGTGATCTTCTGGCCGTTCTGCATTCCCTTCTCCACGATTACTTCCAACACCTTCTTCTCTTGCACCACCTTCTCACCCTTACACTGTCCACATCTGTCCTTGTCATTAATAGTCTCGCCAGTACCTTTACACTCATTGCAAGGGTGTTGCATCTGCTGGATCATAGACGGTGCAAGTTGTCTGATGGTTACTTTCATCCCAGAACCCTGGCAGCCAGAACACTTTGTCGATGCACCAGATTTAGACCCTTTGCCCTTGCATTTTGGACACAGCACATTTCGTGACAAAGAGAGCTTCTTTGAAATTCCATTGTAGAGATCCTCCAAGGAAACCTTGAGGGGGTGAACAACATCCTCTCCTCTTCTTTGCCTACGGCTTCCTCTGCCGCTTCCACCACCACCAAAAGGGCTGCCACCAAAGAAGGATTGGAATATGTCAAATGGATCGTGCATTCCACTGCCTCCTCCCATTCCTTCCTTGAGTGCATCTTCACCGTACTGGTCATAAATCTCTCGTTTTTCGGGATCACTCAGTGTCTCATAGGCATGAGCAATCTCTTTAAACTTCTCGGGATCGCCGCCCTTTTCGGGGTGATTTTTTATGGCGGCCTTTTTGTACGCCTTCTTGAGTTCCTCCTGAGAAACGTTCTTCTCAACTCCTAAGATCTCATAATACTTGGTGTTGTTGCTCTTCTTCGGCGCCCTTCCGAACATCTTTTACGAATCGATAACAGTTGCAGAAATCGGAGAGACGATGAAGGCTTCTTAGCTTTGATTCTTTCCCAGCGCTGAGGAAGATAGAAGGTAGATCGGGCCAGATTTATTTGCGGGGGGCAAGACACATACGCGAATATATATATATATATATATATATATATATATATATATATATATATATATATATATATATATATATATATATATTATTGGAACAGTCGGTTACAAGCAGGGGGCCCGAGGTTCGTTAACCTCGTGACCGCCCCGGGGCCCGTTAAACACCCGAGGCAGATAGCCCACTATAAGAAGCCCAATGAAAGCCCAATCTAAAGCCCAACCCTATAAATCTGCAAACACTTCCTAGGGGGTCACCCATCATTTCTGCTACTCCATCGCTAGCACGCTTAACTCCCTTAAAATTCTCCCAAAGTTGCCCCTTCTCAGGATCGAACTCGAGTGGTGTGGTTCGCCAATCAACCCTGTGACCATCTCAACAGGGGGAACCACGTAATATATATATATATATATATATATATATATATATATATATATATATATATATATATATATATATATATATATATATATATATATATATATATATATATATATATATATATATATATATATATATATATATATATATATATATATATATATATAT